AATGTGTGTATAAATAAACATTTTATCATACAGTGTTACGCTATAATACAATATGAAATAATAAACTAAAATAAAATATATCAAATATAACAAAATATATGATATCATGTGATAAAATATAATGTCATATGATATAATGTGGAGCTGTGAATGGATCCAGCAAAATGATGAATTTACGAGCACAAATGGAAGACAACCAGCAGCCAATCGATTCGGCCAGGCGGCCAGACCAGTCCATTGGTTGCACAGTTGCGTTTTGCTTTTGATGTGTGTTTACTTTCGTAACTCAAAACTGGGTGTCTCTGAACATGGCCCGCCAAAATGGTATTTTTTTGCAGGGAACCAATTGTGATAATTATCATCAGTTTGAATTGTCCAAGATTGATTGATCAGAAACAGCCAGAAAATTGCTCTGGTCAAAAAACAGAAGCAATCCGAACAATAAATCATACCAGCGATGACCAAGGAAGGAAATCATGATATACATGGTTAATTACTGTTATATGCCCTATCTTGGCATGCAAACAGATGGACAATTTTGAGTTGCAAGCAAGACAATTTCAACCATATCTCCATGGTACAAGCACAAGGATATACGTTTGTTTCCCCTTTGGTCGGTTGTTCTCTAGATCAATATGATAATTTACGTATGTCGACATTCGTTGTTTCAGCTGGCGGGGGGAACCGGCCAATATGTTTTCTTTGATTTTGGTGGGGTAGGGTGGGGTAGGGTGGGCTGGGGGTGGGGGTTTGGGGTGGGCTATTAACTGCTATGTTGCTGAGATCTTGCTGGCACTTGCATACTAGCGGGACTTGCGGCAGTGGCAGTGGCGCTCAAGGCACAGCAGAGACTGCGTGCTGAGAGCGACTGCCAGGCAACTGCAAAAGCAAGTGAACATGTGAGGGTAAAAAAGTTAAGTTGGTTGAAAAAAATAATGATTTTAATTTAAACAATTTGTTCAGCATGTCAAAAGACAATTTTTGCTGACAGGCGAATGGGATTGTGGCTTTCAAGGGTGAACATACCATCCTTTGAACCCCCTGCACGGATGTTTAATAACTGGGTTGGTCTGAAAATAGAGGAGTACCCCATTTCCATCTCATGCGCGCGCGCGCGAAATCGAAGCAGCGGCGTAGCACAGCGTCAGCTGTCAGGAGTAGTTCCGGAGGGCATTGGCTTAGCTCCTGGGCACACGCCCCCCCCCGCTCCCCCCCCCTCCCAGGGGCGGGCGGGGGTGTGGTTTGCTCCAAATTTTGAGGTTAAAGTACAACTTTGAACTTTCTTGACGGATCAACGCAAGCTGAGAGATCAGCGAACCAATTGCGAAGGAACTTCCAAGTTCCCTTTCCAAAGGTCTTGACTCCCAATTTGTACCACCACTGGTTACGAATTGAGTTTCCATCATTCAAACAGTCAGTCTTTCTCAAACTCCGAGTGCTTTGAAACCGAGCTTTTTGAAGACTGTGCAAAAGTAAGATTCGTTTCTTTTTGCCAAGAAATCTGTATTTGCTCTTCAGAACCTTATATCTCCGTTTGCCGATCCAACGACAAATGCCAGCCCAACGACCAGAGACACGTTCAGATCTGCATTTAATTGAAACATCCGTGGTGCTTCGACGACGGCGTTGTTTCCAAAAGAGGCGATTAGGGTTACCAAAAAGCAACCACAAAACACAGGTGACACCACTACCTAAGGTAGGCAAATTAAAATGCGACCGAAGTGAAACTCCCAAGTCCTGCTGCGCAATGCAAAAGCGCTGCTGCAGCAGCTGCTCCGCCATCCAACAGCCGGCATGGCTTGACCCGGCCATGATGCTCCGACTGCGCGAACCCTGGGTGCCCGTAGGGCAACAGTAGGTCTGAAATGCGACCAAGGTGCTGTTAGAAACCTCCCCTATACCGTTCCCCTCAAAGTAACCGGGGTGACCTGGAGGGGCAGAAGCAAAGCAGTAGCCAGCAAAGCACAGCCACAGCATAGCAAACAGACACATGGTCCAGCGATGGCCCTTTTCTGTTCTTTTAGTTTTTCTTTTCTTCATTCTTGTTTCTTGTTGGGCTCTTGATATTTTTTTGTTAATCCACTCCGCTCGCGAACTCTGGTCAAGGAAGTTCGCGCCCGCTCCGCCCACTTGGAGGTAGGACATGTACAGGAGCCATTTCCATCTCATGGTTCGTCCAAATAATGTTGCATCCTGATTGGTAGCTAGGTTCGCTATTGTGGCTAGATTTTTCCAAATTATTCTGAACCCATGATAAGATTGGAAGTTTCACTATTGTGGTAAGAATTGCTGGCAGACCATTTTTTATCCCAAAAAACATGTTTGTGTGGAAAAACAAAAACTTATATAACATTTTTTCTGGAAAAAAAAACTTGCTTGCCTGCCGTTCCCAAAAGGATCAGATAGCTTATTAAACCCTTATTGAAGAACATCTTTTCCACACATGAGAGGGCTCAATTCACTTGGTAGGTTTGTTCCCAAGGGTTCACAATGGAAACAAACTTTCCAGAGCTGATCCTGGAACCAAGAGAAGAAAAAAACGCCTTTTCCAAAGCCATTGCAAAGTTCAACTTCCAAGCCTTTCCAAAAAGGATCAGTGTTTTAAAACCCTTATTTAAAAACACTCTGGCCTTTTTTCTTTCTCTTCCTGCGTCTCTTGTTCTTTATCTTTCTCTTTATCTTTATCTTCCTCTTTATTCCTCTTCCTCTTCCTTTTCTTCTTCCTCTTCCTCTTTATTTTTATCTTTCTCTTCCTCTGCCTCTTTCTCCTTCTCTTCCTCTTCCTCTTTCTCTCTTTCTCTTTCTCTCTTTCTCTTCCTAATTCTCTTTTTACACCTTTAATAAAAAACAATTGAGGTGCAAAAAGTGCCGCAATCAACATGCCGAACCCCACTCACTACAAGTACTACATGCAGTACAAGCACTACAAGTACTACTAGTACCACAAGTACTACAAGTACGCGCAAACCCCCCAGTTCGCCCACACAACTTCTTAGGGAGTTTGAAGGAATATAAATTCCCACCCCCGTTAAACTTTACTTTCAATTGGGAAGATCAACAAGGGTATTAGGAATATAAATTTCCACCCCCCGTTACATTTTACATTCAATTGGGAAGATCAACAAGGGGATTAGGAATATAAATTCCCACCCCCATTAAACTTTACATTCAAGTGGGAAGATCAACATGGGTATTGGGAATATAAATTCCCACCCCCGTGACATTTTACATTCAATTGGGAAGATCAACAAGGGGATTATATTCCCCATTAAACTTTACATTCAAATTGGGAAGATCAACAGGGGGATTGGGAATATAGTGATGAAGATGCAGATGAAAATGATGATGATGATGATGGTGATGATGATGATGATGATGACGTTGGTGATGTTGTTGTAACATTCAACGCACAGGTAGCTAAGCTGTGCGTTGCAAGATGAGAGCCATGATCATGGACATGTGCATTTTGCCCCGCAAAACGCAGTGCTTTTTGATGTCCGGACATGTCGTCGGCGTCGGCGCGGGCAAACTGAGAGGTTTGCCCGTACAAGTACTACAAGTTCACCGGTAAAAACTAAGTTTTAATTAAATCACATTTCAATTGTCGCCAATTAAAATCTTTACTTAAATGTATGATGGCATTTTATCTGGGTAACAGCTTCTAAAAACTCAACTTTAAAGAGGGTATAGCATGCGTTTGAGGGGGGGGCCATCCAAATCAGGACGGAACATGATTTCTTTCCCATGACCCTTTGCCATAGATTTGGATACATTTCTGGACAAACAATGGATACATATACATACATACATATATATATATACATACATATATATATATATATGTTTATACATACATATGTATATATATATATACATACATACATATACATATAATTATGCATAGACACACATGTATATATATATGTGTGTATAAATCCACTATGTATAATTATATCCCCATGATATTCCCATGATATCCCGAGTCTATTCCCACTTCCATGTCAATGTGGGTATCTAATGTCCACTATCAACAATGCATCAATATATAACTCCAATAGTGGGCTGACTTATCTGACTTCATTCAATATACGTCAAAATGGGGGTTTCCATAAATGGGGTACCCAATAGCTGGATGGTTAATTTCAGGGAACATCCTACTAATAGCTGGATGATCTGGGGGTAGCCCTATGACTTAGGAACCCCCCCATATCAATAACCATTATAACCATTATAACCATTATCAATAACCATTATAACCATTATAACCATTATAACCATTATAACCATTATAACCATTATAAACCACTATAAACCACTATAACCATATCAATATAAATATATATATATAATATAACCAGCGACCGCAGATTCACCACACCAAGATTCTCAAGAGCTGTAGCAAGCGGATGACCCGCGCCAAACGCAACAAACGAAGGATACCAATCCTGGCGCGCCAAGGTTTCCATGGCGGCGCTGCGGATGAGGTGAAAACATGGGGGTACCTTACTATTCCATGGATGGTTTCAAATGGAAAATCCATCTATACAAATGGATGATTTGGGGGTAACCCCATGACTTAGGAAACCTCTATGTAATCCATGAAGATTTACCAACTGCATCGTCTAGATTATGACCTATATTCTCCTGGCAAAATCCATAAAATGAGCTTGGAACTCACAGAAAAATAGATGATCAATGGTTTGGAACCTTTGTAAATGGGTTATGGATGAAAGTCTTAGGCCTTTGAAATGTGGGATTTGGTAATGTCGGTATTTACATGTATTCAACATCCGGCCTACATCCCGTAAATAAATTATCGAAAACAACTTTTTTGGATTTCAGCATTGCCAAGTGAAACCCTCCAATTAGAAAGCACTCCTGCAATCACAAAGAATTCAAGAAATAGAGTACAAAATGGAGAATGTCCCACAATGCATAGTTCTGCTGAAAGTCACCGTTCATAAGTGCGCTTCTTGGGTTCCAAAATGTTTCAAAGCACCCATTGCGGAACTATGAAGCACACTGAAAATGCAACGGAACACCACGAAACAACACAAAATGGAAGCTTTCGAAATATCATGAACATTCATGAGCTATGCCGCAGCTATGCCTCTTTAAGGCCACCAATTGTTAGCTTAGACCTGAGGCACTTTTGCCTACTCGCCAGCCACCGAATGGTTGGGGCACTTGGCGGGCTATTGCAGGATCCTATATGTCATGGCCACCGTTCCAATAGGATTTATCTGAATAAAACGATATTGAGAGGGTTTCATTGCCAGTTTTGGGCTACCCTCCGGTAATCAAGTATGGCTTGCCGGAAAATGCTCTTTCGAAGCTATAAACCTCGATAATTAATAGAAGAGTGAGTTTCCCATGTCAATCTCATTCAAAGGCACCAAACCCACCGAGACTTCAGTACATGGGCATTGGCTGGTATGGGTCAACATTTAGACTAGTCCAGCTTTACCATTTGATGTATTTGGAGCACATGGGAAAACTATCCTACTGACGCACCTAGAAACTTGACCCGTACCCATCATACCCTTGGATACTAGTAGCAACATGTAGCAACCTTGAAATGCACTCAACAGTTGCATGCTGGAACATTCCGAGGCAAACACAATCAATATCATCCTGCAAAAACAACACATATCTTTCTGGTGTGGTCAGAAAATTAGGCACCACGCGTTACCACTTGAAATCCAACTTCTTTGATTATCATTTTCGACAATGCTTTCCCCACAACAACATCGCAGTTTCGGTGTAGATCCCATTTTCTGACAAACCAAAATCATCTGGTTGGTGGTGCAATAACCATCTTGAAAAATATTAGTCAATGGGAAGGATGACATCCCATATATGAAATGGAAAATAACACATGTTTGAAACCACCAACCAGTCATCATTTTCTTGGTTAAGCGTCCCACGAGACGGCGATCCCGTGTTGGTTTGGTTGGTTTGGTATGAAATCCCATCTTACCTGGCGGCCAACTCCCCTTCGGGGATGAAAAAATCCATCACAATCTCCTCATGGCGCAGGGGTGGAAAGGATACTACAGAAAGGGCCCCAGGGCGAACATGGAGATATGGAAGTTCTCCACTCTCAGTTTAGAGCCAATGCAATTGGGATTTCCACAAGAAATTGAGGCATTTACAACAATGAAGAATCGAACATGGATAATATAGATAGAAACATCAATCGGAACCCTCAATCAGGTTCAGTCCACAGAACCAGGTTCGTTAAAAAAGGGCGTCAAAAAGCACCACAGTATACAGTTGATGATTTCCATAATACAGGCTTTAGACATGTTAAGAAATCAAACTGGGTCTCTATCACTATAGGTATGTACTGTAATGCATATGAATGTACTGTATATGATGTGCATTGTACACCGAGATTGAAGGCCCTCCGTGGCGTGCAGCATTGATTTCCCTCTGCTGTAGCAACCTCACCCGGCAATTTCAGTCCTATCAATCAGGGCTGCCAAAACGCCCAATACAGAGAGAAAAACTCGGTAAATAAAGAGGTGACAAAACATGACAATTTATGATGTATTACTTGACGTATCTTTATGTAACATGACGGTGGCTATTCATCACATAGGCTGCCAGCCGTAGCCAAGTGTCCGTGAAGCCGCAAACAATGACACCTCTGTTGACAGTGACCTTTTGGGTTTTAGGACACCATGGACCTGTCATATTTGGCGCCAGTAACTGATGTTTGTGGTAGATCTGACAAAACCAATGGTTAGTAAATTTTGGGGCCCATTTTGAACCATAGAATCATAGATATGTAGCCAGCTATGTAGTGACAGTCCGTTTGGATTAGTTTGACGGGTCATTTCATTGTAGCGTAGCTATCCAGAAAACAATAAGAAAACTGTTTCTCCAAGACCCAAAGGAATCTTCAAAAGTATGGCTCCATTGAATTGAACGTGCGTCAGGAAAAACATATTGCCGGACAGTGGCTGTTCTTATGCAAGCAGCGATATGTCATCATCAGGTTGATAGCAAAAAAACATCCAGGTGTCGACTAGTTTATTCAAGGCTTCATAGAATAATGTGCAGCAGTTGTACCTCAAAAATGAACATTGATTCTTGATTCCCTTATTACTTGGATTTGCTTAAGATGGCCCAACAAGGGAACAACAACAGTTACTTTCTCGACAAATCCAGGTTCCCATTAATATCCATTAATATCCGTTAATATTTATTTTGAGGATGATGTTCTTTTCTATCCGAAAATTACCGTTGAGCCACGTCAAGCCCAGTGAGACCTGGCCAAGATGCCCACATCCAATAGGAAGATCCAATCCATCAAAGCAACAGAACCTGCAGCATGTTGTGTTTTTTCCTTCAGAAGTTTTTTCCTTCTTTTCCCCACATTTGTTGAAGAGCCTTAAGGAGAGAGAACATGAGAGAACATGAAATCCAAGAAAAACATAACGATTTTCACTTCCATATCAGTTTTCAAAGGCGTGCTGGGGGACTCTTTAGAGGTTTGACTCGACCAAACTGGTCTGCACTTGGTACAAGAACACATTGCCTTGCCCTAGTCGTATTCCTGCAATGATCCTTACATAATCCTCTTGCAATACTTTGGATTAAAGAACAGTGACCAAAATTCAGGACCTCAGCAGGAACTTTTGAAGAACTACCATCTGGTTATTTGTTACAGTTCGCCATGGAAAATCGCCAGTTTTAATAGGTAAACCCAGGTAAACCATCTATACCATGGCTATTGAACCTCACCAGGCTATTCCGCCATCCCTGGAACAGTGACAGCTCCAGCCTTGCCAAGACAATATCAGGCCCAGTTCGATGGAATACCTTGCAGGCTGTGAGTGTAAAAAGGTCAAGGCTTTTGTCAGCAGATGCAGGTATGCGCAATGTATATAATATATATATAGTATATATATAGTGTATAGGTATATATATATAGTGTATATAAATATATATAGTGTATAGGTGTATATATATAGTATATATATATATATATAGAGTGTGTATATATATATATACATAGTGTATATATATATAGTGTAGATATATAGTGTGCATATAAATAGTGTATATATATAGTATATAAATATAGTGTATATATATATAGTGTAAATATATAGTGTATATATATATTATATGTGTATATATATATAGTGCATATATAAATATAGTGTGTATATATATATAGTGTATATATATATAGGTATATATAAATATAGAGTGTATATATATATATAGTGTATACATATAGTATACATATAGTATATATATAATATATAGTATATATCTATATTGTGTATATCCTTGAGTAATGACCAAGCTGAAGCACGTGCAAAAATCAGCAAAGGACTTGGCAATTCCCACTAAATAAGCTTTTTGTACCCTGCGTCACGGCACATGTGTAGCAGTGCAGACAAAGAGGATGGAGACAGACATGTTATGTGGAGTAATGACCAAGCTGAAGCACGTGCAAAAATCAGCAAATGACGTGGCAATTCCCACTAAATAAGCTTTTTGTACCTTTCAGGAGGAACAAAGTTTATGCTTCTTGAAAGCTTTACAAAGCATTCATTTCGGTCAACCGCGGATCACATTTTCAAGTCCGTTTTGTGTGGCAGGTATGGGACGGTCAATGATCACCCTCTTTTAAATATAAAAGATTTTAAAGCTTTTGGAGGGTGGAAATGCGACCGGGGTACGGCAAAGCTCCATGCCAGGATTCTACGGGGAAAGGGTGTGCAAAAGAAGAAACCAAACATGTTCACTGTGGAAAGCTCAACAAGCGCAACTTTTGTCCTACCAGTGTAGTATATATACAATGTATATTTATATATATATATATTACAAAGTATATTATGTACATAGAGCGGGAGAGCGAAAAACCCAGAGGACAAGAAGTGTCCCAAGTGGTATCACCAAAACGAACCTGACCCAAAGACGGGACGGAGCCCCCAAGGCGCCTGGCCGCCCGAGTAAGACAGGTAAGAAAAGACGACGGGACAAGAGCCTGGGGAGCACGAGCCGCACGCCACTTATGGAGACTTAAGAGCACGTTGCACCGAAATGTACAAAAGATCAGAGGTGTGACCCAACAAAAACAGTTGCTGCAAATCCACACTCTCGTGCCCACCCGAGGAGGATTTAACCCTGACGGACAGACTTGGGCAGACCGGAGACCTGAGAAACAGTGGGCACATGGCCGCCCAGCAAAGCACCCCAGGACACGACCGGCGAAAGGACCAAAGAAGCAACAGAAGCTTTGAATTGGTGAGAGCCTGAGGGGCCCATTGATCACCCAAATCGTGATCGATGATCGTTCAGCCCATTGGCCGTGAAAACCCGGTATGGCCGTGAAAAAATGATATAGCTGTGAAAACAAGATTTGGCCGTGAAAATGCATGCTATTGGCCGTGAAAAACCGTTGAATGGCCGTGAAAAAACGTGAAAAACGTGAAATTGCAGATGGTGCCGGGCATGGCCGTGAAAACTGGGTATGGCTTCGGAACATGGCCGAAAGTGATCGAGAAGCTATTGAACCCCATTTATGTGATCGATGGGTTCCCCAGGAGCAGGGCAGGGCGGCCAGGCGGCGCGCCAGACGCTGACACTTGCAGAAGCGTTTAGATTCATCCGAAGAAGCACGCCCACAACCTCCCACGGACACCCCAAGGACGTCAACCAGGAAGGAAGGAGACCACCCAGCATTTTCGAAGGCGACAAAGGCAGGAATAGTGCGCGCCCAGACTTGCGTTTTAGACGCGTTGGTGCGACTACGCGTAAGACGACAGAAGGCGTCCCACACCCCAACAGCACGCTGCAAGGAAGGCAACGAAGGAGAGATGATACGATCATCCAGAAACAGAAGCGCACGCGTGTCAGGCACGGTACGAAGCTGACAGCGCAGCGGCAGAAGCAAGCACAGCATCAGCGTGCACGGTGACCAGGGGTCGCCTTGCGGCAGGCCTAACGGAGCACAGATGGGACGAGACGAGACGGCATCCCCAAAGCAGACCCACCGCGAATGATTGGCCCATTGAGCAGCAAGTAACGTACACACCGGAGACGGTAATCCGAAACGACGAAAGAGCTGGACGCAAAGCGCAGCATCGCAGGAATCAAAGCATTTAGAGAAGTCGGGACACAGACCAAACGGGTAATCGTTTTCAGGGTATTCCTGGTGGAGGGAAATCAAACAGTCATAGACATCGAGGATTTGGTGACGATCAAAAAGACCTTTGAGGCGGGGAGTAAGGTGACGCAGCCGGACAGCCGACCAAACCCGATAGACCGGACCAATAGAGATCGGGCGTAAGGACCCCAATTCCGGAATGGATCCCGTTTTCTTTTTGGGGATGAATCTGACAGCCCAATCACGAAGACCGAGCGGCCAAGAACCTGCATTTTCGCAAGCCTGGAGAAACTGGCACAGCCTCTGAATAAAGACATCAGGGAGTTGATCAATCAAATCGGTAGTCCATCCGTCAGGTCCGCTTTACCTTTCATGCGGGTCAGAACCTTACGGACTTCAGGAGCCGTGATTGCAGGAAGGGACTCAAATTCCACCGGTGGCGGGAAGGCGGGAAGTCATCGGAATAATAATTGCAAAACTCAGCCACATTAATTTGATTTTCAGGGGTCCCAAAGATGTTAGACCAAAAGTGACGAAGGGCTTCAACAGCTTGATTACGGATGATCAAAATTTCACCGGAGTCATTTTTAACCACAGAAGGGACCGCCAAGTCCTGCCGCAACCATTTGCAAGCTCCTGAGACAGTGTGGACCCTCTGTTTCCACTTTGAAACAGCCTCACGACTTTGAGTAGCCAGAAGGTCCTGAAGTCTGCTTTGAGCAAGGTTTCGAGCCTCGCCCCACTTTCGCGCACGGATGGCGCGAGATTCGGCTTGCGAGACACAGCCTCGCTGAACATTTTTGAAGAGAGACTCAGGGACTGACGTGCCTCTCCTAACCAAAAAAAGGGTTTCGTCCAGCCGGCGAATATGCCATCGAAGCTGGCGCTCGGAAATGCCTTGATTAGGTGCCACATGGTGGCTTCCGGGAACTATTATCGTGGGAACCTCACCCAAAAATCTTTCCGGGGCCCGATTGGATAACCGGTTCGTGGCCAACAACCAAGTTTCGGCCTCGCGAGACCACGTCCGCCAAGCCCCATCCAAGTTGCCGAGCATTTGCTCCCAAGTTTCAGTGGCGGTGACATTAGGACCTGAGGTGTCTGAAGCACGGGTCCGAACCTTAGAAAACCGCCAAGTGTGACCTGCTTGTTTTGGCCACGTCATGTTGAGTGAGGCTAACAGCAGCCACCGTGTGATCAGAGGGACATCGGTTCACGTGAGCGAATATGTCTGGCCTGAGCACCGCATATGGCATGATGGTAAGTGAACATGTCAAAAACCGGACCCTGGCTCATGCTGGCGTTACCATCCAAACCGATGATAAAATCACGGCCGTTGTGGGCATCCAAAAAGGTACTTAACCGATGCAAGGTTTCAAACTCCGTGTCGCTACCATGACGATACAAGGAACCAATCATGACAGGACGTTGATAACCCAAAAGTTCCGCGATGACCAGTTGGCCTCCGCCATTGGCGTCAACATGAAGCTGAACCAAACTAAGGGCTCCCTAGTCAAAATAGCAGCTCCCCCTTTATGACCAGCCGTCGGAGGAGGGACATGCAGAAGTTGCCAACCTCGGCGATGAACCTGGTTGGAAAACGAAGGATCTGACACCTGAGAAATGTTGGTCTCCTGAAGCAGAAGCATGCATGAACATGACACTTCGAGGCCTCGTCCATAATGGCGTTACCATGCAGCCGCCATGAACTGATATTGACACTCCAAATGGTCAGAGGATGGTGAGAAGGACAGAAAGTTCTGGGGCCCGGGTTCGCGGCCTCACCCACCCGAACACCATGGTCAGGGTGGGCAACTTTGGGTCGTTTGGACTTGGGGGGAGGTTTGGTACGTTTAACAACCTGTTTACGGATATCTTTCCAAATCGTTTCCGTTCGGCCACTGCCGGGGCCCGCTCACCATTGCGGCAAATAGCCATGGGGTAATCCCGAATTTGGACCTTCATGTCACAAACCGTACAAGCATACAGAGCACTCGTCCAAGTGCGTCCGGTTTTAGTGGTATATTCCCGAAAATAAGAGGGTTCCCGCTCCAATTTGTGGGCCCCTGGCCATGGAAGCTCAGCAGAAATGATATCGCGCAGCCGGTGCCACCTGACAGTGAACGCCTCATCGGCCTTAATAAGACGCGTGGGGTTTGCCATGGCATCGTTTTTCCCCGAGTTAACAGGAATGTTATCATGACCATGGATGTTTTTCAAATGGACGCGTTTCAAATCCGAACGGCGAGCATCGCCACTTGATCTTGTAATCACAAAAAGAGCAAACCCACCAAGTGGTATCCTTGCGGTCAGCAGCAGTGACCGTCAGACCATCAAATCTGCCCTTCCTGGTGAAATGGTTGGTGGAGGCCTTAGCATCGCAAAGCTGCTGTTTAGCAATGCGAGCCCCTTGCCATGTGCCAACTCCTATGATCAAAGTCAGTTGCAACCAAAGAGCCTTTATTGCAGTGAATCCTAGACGAATTCCATTGCATATGCAAAGTACATGTGGAAAATGTGTGTATGTATTGGCATGCACTACTGATATGCACCATTCATATCATAGATGCATACAGTAGTACTACCAAGGACAATGCAAGTTCATCACTATATATATATATATATACGGCTACAGTGACATTCTAAACACTTATGCACCTTGGGTGTGCTGATACAGCATATGGCTATGGCATATGCAACATCCATGTTGCCTATATCACAAGGAGCTCTTGAGACATCAATATCTACTTGAAGACGGCTATCTTGTATTGTACTAGTACCATGCTAGATAGCAACTCTTTTCTGATCGGTCAGTCTCGTTTAGTTACAGCCGTCATTATGTTAGCAAAAAAACAAATATATATATATATAAGGAAGGAGGGGGGAGTGGGGGGGGCGAGCCAAATATATATATATATGTTTTTTTGGCTCGACCCCCCTCCCTGGAGTAGCGTCACTGAAACACATGCTTGTATAAATCCTTTAGGGGAAATGGAATAGATACGTGTATTTGATGAAATGTATGCATATATACATATCCTTCCAATAGAATTCATTGATAACAGCAAGAATAAAAAAGAAAATAACTAAAAATCAGCAACATTGCAAGTATGTGATTTGTGGGCCCTGGTGGCGTCCCTTTCTGAAAAAATGCGAGCTAGCCGATTGAACAATATTAACACGTCATCAGAAATATATGAATACACCAATGAAACATGAATATCTGTTTAAAACATCACGGACCATATTTTTGTTTGAAACCACCAGATCTATGCCATTTCCCCATGTTTTGAACCCAGGCACAAGACCAAGCACAAACCTGCCTTAGTTGGACATGGAAGGATCGAGGGCAAAAATGGCTAAGTGGAGCCCCTAAGCACTAGGGATGATCCAGGTACCCTTTGGTCTAACATATGGTATAAGGAAAATAAACATTTGTAATAGGTATGTCACGGCATATTAATTGCAAATTGGGCTGTTTCAATAGCTATGTTACATTACGTTACTATCTTAGTTTGACAGTTTACTGGAGGGTACCATGAAAGAAACAATGTGCGCAATATTCTCAAGCATCGGTGCAACGGACCCAGTGACGAGCTTTGGGGATCACCCAGATGCCATAGGCAAAACCGATATGTCATCTTTGCACCTTTAGAAACAACGATATGTATTGCAACCTAGAAACGAAGCCGCAAATCTATATAATGTACCATCACCATGTGATGAAGCAGTGTAACCTGCAAACCCTTACCATAATATAAAGTCGCGCGAGATGCTCATTTTCAAGATGCCCCTACTTTGTCATTTCGTAGTCCTTGAAATCCATTAGTAGCTTGACATTTATACGTCATATGAGTCATATACTTAATCTCTACAATCTATTTAGAAATTGTAGCTATCCGCCGACCCCGACAGACGCAAGGGGGAGCGCGCCAGGGAATAAGACAAGCAAGTTTAGCCGCACCAGCAGCAAGAGCAGCGGCAGTGGCTGCAGCAGCGAGTCCGGCTACTACGACTACTGTTACTACTACTACTACTACTACGACTACTACGACTACTACGACTACTACGACTACTACTACTATTACTACTACTACTACTACCCCTACTACTACTACTACGACTACTACTACTACTACTACTCCTACTACTACTACTACTACGACTACTACTACTATTACTACTACTATTACTACTACTACTACTACTACTACTACTACCCCTACTACTACTACTACTACGACTACTGTTTTACTGCTAGCGAGCAGCTTACAGCAGGAGCAGGGCAGCAGGAAGGCCATGTGGACAAGTTGCCAAGAGCTGCCAAGAGCTGGAAATTTGTGTTTTTTAACTGGGGTTTCAGAAGAGACGCGAGGCCCCGTGGATTACCGTTGCAGGGCACCAAGTGCCATGGGGTTTTCCAGTGCATTTTTTCAGGCAATTTGTTCGCTAAAAGATGTGGCAACCAGTTGCAGCAGCCGCAGCAGAAGCAGTGCAGCCGAGCAGTTTACAGCAGGAGCAGGGTCCGTCCTTCACTGCCATGGTGTTTTCCCATCCGGGAGCTGCCTTTTGAACAGAAGGAGTAGCAAGAGCAGGAGCTGCAGCAGCAGCAGGTGGAAAAAGTAGCTAAAATCAACCTTTTCTATGGGTTTCAGAAGTTACATTAGGGAGTTTTTGGGCGCAATTTTGATGCTTTTCCGTCCTTCACTGCCATGGTGTTTTCCCATCCGAGAGCTGTCTTTTGAACAGAAGGAGTAGCACGAGCAGGAGCAGCAGCAGCAGGAGGAAAAAGTAGCTAAAATCACATCCTTTTCTATGGGTTTCTGAAGTTACATTAGGGAATTTTTGGGCGCACTTTTGCTACTTTTCAGTCCTTCACTGCCATGGTGTTTTCCCATCCGGGAGCTGCCTTTTGAACAGAAGGAGTAGCAAGAGCAGGAGCAGCAGCAGCAGCAGGAGGAAAAAGTAGCTAAAATCATCCTTTTCTATGGATTTCTGAAGTTACATTAGGGAATTTTTGGGCGCACTTTTGCTACTTTTCAGTCCTTCACTGCCATGGTGTTTTCCCATCCATCCTTTTCTATGGGTTTCAGAAGTTACATGAGGATTTTTTGGTCGCAATTTTGAGGCTTTTCCGTCCTTCACTGCCATGGTGTTTTCCCATCCGGGAGCTGCCTTTCGAACAGAAGGAGTAGCAAGAGCAGGAGCAGGAGCAGCAGCAGGAGGAAAAAGTTGCTAAAATCACATCTTTTCTTTTCTATGGGTTTCAGTAGGGAGTTTTTGGGCACAATTTTGATACTTTTCCGTCCTTCACTGCCATGCCTGTTTTTCTCATCCAGGAGCTGCCTTTGCAGTAGCAAGAGCAGGAGCAGCAGCAGCAGGAGGAAAAAGTAGCTAAAATCACATCCTTTTCTATGGGTTTCTGAAGTTACGTTAGGGAATTTTTGGGCGCACTTTTGCTACTTTTCAGTCCTTCACTGCCATGGTGTTTTCCCATCCGGGAGCTGCCTTTTGAACAGAAGGAGTAGCAAGAGCAGGAGCAGCAGCAGCAGCAGGAGGAAAAAGTAGCTAAAATCAACCTTTTCTATGGGTTTCAGAAGTTACATTAGGTAGTTTTTGGGCGCAATTTTGATGCTTTTCCGTCCTTCACTGCCGTGGTGTTTTCCCATCCAGGAGCTGTCTTTTGAACAGAAGGAGTAGCACGAGCAGGAGCAGCAGCAGCAGCAGGAGGAAAAAGTAGCTAAAATCATTTCCTTTTCTATGGGTTTCAGAAGTTACATTAGGTAGTTTTTGGGCGCAATTTTGCTACTTTTCCGTCCTTCACTGCCATGGCTGTTTTTCTCATCCAGGAGCTGCCTTTTGAACAGAAGGAGTAGCAAGAGCAGGAGCAGCAGCAGGAGGAAAAAGTTGCTCAAATCACATCTTTTCTTTGGGTTTCAGTAGGGAGTTTTTGGCCGCAATTTTGATGCTTTTCCGTCCTTCACTGCCGTGGCTGTTTTTCTCATCCAGGAGCTGTCTTTTGAACAGAAGGAGTAGCAAGAGCAGGAGCAGAAGCAGCAGCAGGAGGAAAAAGTTGCTAAAATCATCCTTTTCTATGGGTTCAGAAGTTACATTAGGGAGTTTTTGGGCGCAATTTTGATGTTTCTCCTCCCTTCACTGCCATGGTGTTTTCCCATCCGGGAGCTGTCTTTTGAACAGAAGGAGCAGCAAGAGCAGGAGCAGCAGCAGCAGGAGGAAAAAGTAGCTAAAATCATCCTCTTCTCTGGGTTTCAGAAGTTACATTAGGGAATCTTTGGGCCCAATTTTGATGTGTTTCCGTCCTTTCACTGCCATGGTGTTTTCCCATCCATCCTTTTCTATGGGTTTCAGAAGTTACATTAGGGAGTTTTTGATCGCAATGTTGATGCTTTTCCGTCCTTCACTGCCATGGTGTTTTCTCATCCGGGAGCTGTCTTTTGAACAGAGGGAGTAGCAAGAGCAGGGGCAGCAGCAGCAGCAGCAGGAGGAAAAAGTTGCTAAAATCATTCTTTTCTATGGTTTTCAAAAGTTACATTAGGGAGTTTTTGGGCGCAATGTTGATGCTTTTCCGTCCTTCACTGCCATGGTGTTTTCTCATCCAGGAGCTGCCTTTTGAACAGATGGAGTAGCACGAGCAGGAGCAGCAGCAGCAGCAGCAGGAGGAAAAAGTTGCTAAAATCATCCTTTTCTATGGGTTTCAGGAGTTACATTAGGTAGTTTTTTGGCGCAATTTTGATGCTTTTCCGTCCTTCACTGCCATGGTGTTTTCCCATCCGGGAGCTGCCTTTTGAACAGAAGGAGTAGCAAGAGCAGGAGCAGCAGCAGCAGCAGGAGGAAAAAGTAGCTAAAATCATCCTTTTCTATGGGTTTCTGAAGTTACATTAGGGAATTTTTGGGCGCACTTTTGCTACTTTTCAGTCCTTCGCTGCCGTGGTGTTTTCCCATCCATCCTTTTCTATGGGTTTCAGAAGTTACATTAGGGAGTTTTTGGGCGCAATTTTGAGGCTTTTCCGTCCTTCACTGCCATGGTGTTTTCCCATCCAGGAGCTGCCTTTTGAACAGAAGGAGTAGCAAGAGCAGGAGCAGCAGCAGCAGCAGGAGGAAAAAGTAGCTAAAATCATCCTTTTCTATGGGTTTCAAAAGTTACATTAGGGAGTTTTTGGGCGCAATTTTTCCGTCCTTCACTGCCATGGCTGTTTTTCTCATCCAGGAGCTGCCTTTTGAACAGAAGGAGTAGCAAGAGCAGGAGCAGCAGCAGCAGCAGGAGGAAAAAGTAGCTAAAATCATCCTTTCTATGGGTTTCAGAAGTTACATTAGGGAGTTTTTGGGCGCAATTTTGATGCTTTTCCGTCCTTCACTGCCGTGGCTGTTTTTCTCATCCAGGAGCTGTCTTTTGAACAGAAGGAGTAGCAAGAGCATTGCTTTCACAGCACTGCGTAAACGCTCTTTCCACGCACCCTTCAACGGCCACTCCACCATACCGAAGTGTTTCTCCAGGCAAGCAAACTTCTCCTGCAGAGGGTCAGTCACTACCTCCAGTTTCTAACAATTCAATGGCCGTGATAAACCATGCAATTTCTACATTTCATTGACTACCATTTTTCAGTTTTGGCAGGCAACATTTGTCATTGCTGGTTGTCATCTTTCGTTTTGGACTTTCTGGTTCATATTAGCCCACTTTACGAAGTTGTCCTTGCAATCAATCGGTACAACATTGTTCATCGGGGTTGGCCTGAATTAAAACATCTTTCAGGACCGATATGTGAAAGAAGGACTTGATACATCAACAACTCAAATCATAACAGTCTGGTCACGCATATGATTTACTTACTTGTTGCGTCCGCCTGCGTTGTTGCAATGCAGCGGAACATCCCGATACGAAGCAGCGCACTAGGCCGCGATACATGCCGACATGGAAGAAGCAAAGCCAAACTACTACGATCTAGTTCACGATGTACCTGACTGGCAGCATGCAGCGGCTTACTCATTATCACACAGTTCCCCGACAACACGCCAACTTTATGCAACTTTATGCTGAGGCAATTTGGTGCTATCTGCCCAGCTACGTTGCAAATCTTTCGGCTCAATAGCTTCTGTACTAGAGGTTCCGACCATTCAGCTCGTAGCCCGGCGGCGGGATCTTTCCCTTCCTCAGAAAATCTTTGAACACTGACCGGGATCTACCGAAGCTGCAACGATCATGCTCACATGGAAATTTTCCCAGATCTGCCACAAATCATGCCACATTACAACATGAAACGTTGTAATAGCTTTCTCAAGCACACCACTAGCAATTCTGAACTTGCAACCTTCCCCCCTTTTGCTGAACCGGTCCATCAAATATGGTATTAGAAGTTCTAAGACTATTGACGATCCCAACCTTTCAGTGGTTCTTGCAAATTATTAAAGACATTACCCTTCAGATTCTGCATCACCAAGACACAAGCAAATTCGCCGTGATGTGCAACCGCGCTGCAGCCGTGGACAACAGATTTGCAACGAAGACCTTGCTCACTTTTCCCTTGCGTGTCACTGGCAGGTTCTGTTTCACCACTTTGAGTTGGGCACTCTTGGCTTGAACCCGCCAACTCAGCCCCAAAGCACACAGGGACCGCTTAGAAAGATCACCTGTCAGCCCCAGGGAAGCTGCAAATACGAGATGTTTCGACAGGAGGTGTTTAGGCATGTTTGCACAGTTCAACTTTGGATCTGTCACAACTTTGGATAGGCTCTCTCTCAACTTTGGATGTCACAAGTTTGAGTTCTATACTTGATTTTCACGATGCTGTTAACAATCATACAGAAGAAGAGAAGAAGCAAAGAACGAAGAGGATGCAGCGACTGAGTCAAATGGCAAAGGAAACAGTAATGATGATGATTTAACTGTTCCTGTTCATGATCACAAGGCCTACAAACGGAAGCAAAGATATTCATTTCCTAGATCAAGCCGGGCAGGAGGAAAAGGATCTGATTACTTCTCTCACAAACGCATTGTCATGCAAATATGCTATGCTGCCAAACTGCTTGTGCCCTCAGCTCGTCGGCAGAGCCGCTGCAGAACCAGCGCTTGGGCTGCGTGCTTGGCCTTCCGATTCGCCAATCGCCGCTGGTCGCGCAAGGCATTGCTGCCACTACGCCCGCGCTTCATTTTCGAAGCTAATACAATGCATACTTTGCATGTTCAACTGATCCTTGCTTTACGCTCTTGCAACTCTTCCTGCAATTATTCCAATATTGTGTTGCTCCTTTACTTTCATTTCTTTCAGATTGCGCTTTGCACCTTGCTCCCCAAAAAACTGCAACCAACACACAGCAAGCTGGGCCGTGTCCATCGAGTGACCTTTGGGTTGGCTTTCTAGCCAACGAAGTCTGAAGTTATCTTCGCCATGTTACGTGGCTCACCAATTCTAGACCAAATGATCTTTACTCTTGTTCTTCTATCTCATTCGGTTGAAGCCTATTCAGATCCCAAATTTCCGCCTTCTACATGCGAGAGGATGCAAATCTAATGTTCCTGAATGCATCCTTGCTCTTCCACCTGCGTCCTCAATTTCTGTAGTGAGATCACACTCTTTGAACAAACCACCCACTTGGCACCTGTTTAAGCGTCTTCTCCACATTCAGCAGCGTCTGCTAGTTGGCAATAACATCTGCCGTACTACAAGAAAACCTGAGACAAAACTGAAGATTCCGGCTAAGAAAGAGTTTGCTCAAATCGGACTAGAAATTTATAACATATTTAACTCCAAAGATATAGTTCAATGAAGAATCAAAAGTGTATATACATATGTATAAAAATGTATTTACATATGTATATACAGATGTATATAAATGTAAATACATATCTATGATATACAATTGTATATCTATACATATATATCATGAAATACAGTATATATATAATATATACATATACTGTATTTCATACTATATATGCTTAATTCTGAATCGTCGTATGTGGCTTCTTGCCCCACCACTCTTCTTTGCCAGGCTGCATTCTCCCCAGCAAAAAAAGCCAGCACAGGCTTAGGGCCAACCTTTCCTGCAGATGAGCAGCCCATGGACTTCATTTGCTCAAAGAGGCACGGCTACTATAGATATATTTTGAAAGCCAGTAGGCTCAAATAACCAATGTTTGGCTCAATTGTAAAAGAGTTCCAAAGAATGATGATGTGTCTTGGTTGCTGCATGTTTACTTCCCCACAGGTTATTGTGACACCAGGTACGTAATACACACACATATATACATATATATCTATATACATCTCAATCAAGGTAGACATAGCCTCGACACAAGAATGTAGTAGTATGTGTATATATATATTATATATATACCTGCTGCACTGCATATTAGCATGGGTCAAAACGGCACCATTCACCAAAACAGCTGGCTGTTGTTGATGCTCATCCTCGCATTCACACGGAAAATCGCGGGTCTTGATCCATCCCCAGATCCATATGTCTCAAGAATTTGGAACCCAAAAAACTGATACTAAAAATAATAGAATCTCGTCATGTTCTGCATGAAAATGGTCCGAAATTGGGGGCCATGCTCCATTTGGAGACAAACCATGACAAACCCACATCATATCACTGTAGACTTGTTTAGTGCCGCCAACGTCTACCGTCAACCCCGGCTTGCCTGGGGGTCAAAGTGAGACACGATGTGGATCTTAGCGAGCAAAAATCAATGGCTTGCGCACGACGCGCGGAAAAGTTCAGGAGTGACAATAACAACAAACATATGTTCTGCAAATGTTCCACATGTCACATCCTTCAAGCTTCTCGTTTGTTTTTTTGTACAGACTGCAATATCTGATCTGCACTGTGTATACATCCATAGATATTTGTGCAGAAGTGCCTGAATCAAACTCGACTTGGAAAGTGATCACAAGCCTCTCCTGCACCTGAGCTGCCATGGTGTCGTTGGAACCTATGTCGGGAGCAACCATCAGCGAAGTGAGACAAAGGTCTTGCATCTTTCGCACGCCAGCCGCTTTCGCTACTGCCTCGAAAGATGTGGGTTTTGTGACAGTTGAGCAACCACAGACTAGCTGCTAAAGCTGCCAAAGTGGGCGGCATGGAGCACTTGACTGGAGTGCAAACATTACTACCTCTGGTTTTGGGGGTCTGTGTGAAAATACGGGTACCCCCAGTTCCATTAGTTTAATCATCCTCAGTTTTCCCCATTTAAGAAAATGCCATGGTAGCTCATCCCAGTGACCCTAGTTATAAGTTGGCTAAGCAAAGTTCGTCCAGTTATAAGCAAGTTAAAACCCATGGAAGGCCAAGATGGCGGGTTGTGACCAGTGTTTAGCGGAAAGAAACGACATGTAGGACACCTTTCGGATTTAGTTCTGTGATGATCAGGCGGATTTGGTATGGGGTTCGAACTCCACCAGATTTGTTGCCACCCGCTGCCTAGTCTCTCGGCATGGTAGCTCCCAACAGACGATGCTTTCGTAGACAGCCATCAAGACCTGACACAGACAACTAAGATGTTGGCTGTTCTATTCACACGCTGGCTTCATACATCGCATGAAGACATGATATTATAGATCATCAGGGATCAGCACTTTCAAGCACGCCGAAACATGACATACAATTCTGATGAAACAACCCTGTCTCAGAGGTTCATATTTTAGACTCATAGATCATAGTCTGACAAAACCAAAACGCAAGTGGCGGGTGCTCGAAACTGTTTTCACAGATGTTCCCTGCATTCCCACAGAGCCCGAAGCGAACCCTTTCGGAAAGGTTCCACTCGCCAGGCAAAGCTACCTGTACACCTCTTCTAAAACCATCCTCTACCATACCGACTGTACAAGCAACTCGAACAGAGCACCTACCCCAACCAAAGGCTTCGTAGCATGGGGTGGATGCAGCGTGTTTGAACTTTGGGCTCTGTGCAGAGTGCAACCAACATGACGACACATAGTAACAAGCGTTTACAAGTGTTTAATAAAATTGAAGCTCCCATGCAACGTTCAAACATTTGCAGGCTAGCTGCACACATAGCTCTCGCAATCTACCGCCCCATGTCAAACAGTCTCGACCACTGACGAGGTCATTTTCAAAATCTCTCTGCTCCAAACATACTCCAGGAAACACTAGGCTCCGCCGTACCGACTGCACAAGCAACTCGAACGGAGCACCTACCCCTGCCAAAGGCGTCGTAGCATTGGGTGGATGCAGCATGTTTGAACTCTGGGCTCTGTGCAGGGTGCAAGCAACATGAGGAGACGTAGGAACAAATGTTTACAAGTGTTTAGTAAAATTGAAGCTCCCATGCAAAGCTCAAACATTTGCAGGCTAGCGCGAACATAAGCATCGCAATCTTCCGCCCCGGGTCAGACAGTCTCAACCACTGACAGATCATCACCAAGCTTTGACGGCCATGTAAGATTTCAAACATAGATGTCAACTGAGCCAACTGTACATCTTTAAAAGCAAGAGCTGCTCAGCCTCACGAACATGCACGTGCACTTGCCAACAAATACCAACCGTGCAATGCAGAGTGACTGTGCTTCACACGTACTAAGGACAATTGAACCGTTAGCAAATGCAGTCTTGTAGTGCCACACACCCGAAAAGCTGACTGCTTGGAATGTCGCCCAAGAGACATCACTACAAATCAAAAGAGCACAATGGCTGTCACGCAACTGTGGAAGCACGAAGCCGTCGCAGCTAGAACCCTCTCAATCGCCACGACGAACTGTGCTCTCCTCTTCCATAGCCTTCACCTTTACTCCAGAGCTCTGTGCACTGCTGATTCTGTCTGCAACAGCCAATGCACGTTGCCTCCAAGGTGCTGCAATCCATTCCACAAAGAAATGAAACAAGACCAAAACCATTGCTAGCACAAAATCCAACAACAACAACGAACCTAACTTCACATCAGGTTGCGCCGCCAAGCGCTGAGATCGAGGATTGCCACCTGTCGCAGCCAATGCTAAGGCTTGTTCAACGAAGCCCAACGAGCCAGCCTGCAAAGATGTGAGTTGCGCTGTTCGGCGCCGCTTCAGATTCTCGTCATTCGTCACCCGGGCCTCAAAATCCGCTACGGCTACTCGGCGCACTGTTCCCACCGCGCTGAGCTTCTTCTCCAGGCCAGAGTAACCTGGGTCACTGAATCCCACACGCAGCGCAATGTAGACGGATCTCTGACTTTCCCGAATGACCTGGGGACCGCAGCACCCACAACTTCACATGACCCCATGCACCTGATTCAGACTACTTCTCAACTTTTTTACACCATTAAATCAAAATAGACTTTCTCCAAACCGAGCCTTCCAAACAAGAGCTTCATAGTCGTCCTCGAGAGTCTGTGCAACCACCCTTCGACCGTACTCGTTGTCCCGCACGGGCTCCGATCCAGCGGCCAATGTCAAAATGATGCCAGCCAAGGCCATGACCCGCAAACCAGGACAGCTCCAAAAACCAAAATCTGCACATCCACAACCCGTTTTTTGCAAGCACATGATTTTCCTGGTACATAGATAGATGTTCTAGAGTCCAAAAAAAATAATATTCTGGAAAATAGATAGATGGAGCATTTTTTACATTGAGACCCTATATGCCTGTACGTCTGGACGGATGGATGGATTCCGCGATGTATTAAAGATTTTCAGTCTATATAAGTGTTAGCAACAAAAGTCCCAAGATCTGTCCAATGTAGGCCATCCGAAGCTGAATGGTCTGACATCCCCAGCTTCACCTGGAGGCTGTGGCGCGATTCATGGAATTCAAGAAGACCAGGAGCCTCAAGACAGCGCAGCGAGCCGATCGGTTTGCAGGAATTGATGTTGAAAATCCATAGAGTAAGAGTGTCATATCATTGAAATGCACGTGCTGGTGCTACTGGCGTATGTCAAGCACACCTTTATTGATCTATATTCTGCAAGCATCTTCATTGTGTAACAATATGTTTCTTGGATCATTTTGGATTGAAATGGGATGATGTGAACCTTCTGGAATTGGTTTACCTTCTTTTCAGACATGTCCTGATTGGCCAAACACTCAAGTGAGCGTTGGAGTACCGCATGAAAGGACGATGAGTTCAGACCAATAGGTTTTCTTGACTAATTGAAGAGACATCCTTCATTTTGCGCTTCCATTTCGGGACCACTTCTTCCCCTTTTCATGCAATTCCATTTCAAAACTTTAAGGTTCAGTTTGCGCTTCCATTTCGGGACCGCTTCTTTTGTTGACTCAGTTAACTTTTGATCGCAATTCGGAACCACTCCAAAGCCCTTCAAAGTCCAAGCTGCACGAGAGGAATGATTCACTGAGACTAGGAAACCAACAGAACAATTCAAACAGCTGACAATTTTCTGTCTAAATATATTCAATTTTAACAAGTTTCAGCACTGGCCGAGAGAATGTTCTACCAAAAAACAATTGATTCGAAGAATGCTTCGAACGTTCAAGACAGATTAAGATGTGAATATATATATATATCTATATAATCTTTGCTCCTTATCAGAACTGTCTGTTCTATTTCAAAATAGATCAATATAGTTCTGATGATAGAGGAAGAAAGAAACAAGACCAATAAAATAGGTTCCAATATTCCATGTCACCAATCGTCCTTCCAGTATGAATCTTCGCATCATCCGCTATAAATAAGCCAAAAAACAAATCTGAATCAAAAACATCTATAGTATTTAGAATCATACTATGACTCATCATCATCACCATCAACAGCAGCAGCAGCACCAACCATGACAAATCATCATTAACTATCATCAACCATTGATAGCTAATAATAACATGTACTAACATGGACTAACATGGACTAACCAGTAATGAAGCACATCATCACCACTTCTTTTCAGCACCACTTTCTCAGCTCGCACCTCGCAGGGCTGCAGTTCTTCGCATCCACTCAGCTGCACCTGCATAGTGCAACTCGCCTTAGAGATCGCCCCGTCGAAATTTCAGCACAACATGGCGGTTTGCAGCTGGGAAAAAGATCTATAGCTGGCAATTGAGGGGCAAAATCAGACGATGGGATGATGGTGGGATAAGAATGTGTTGTAAACAGTTTCAACATCCCAAACTTGAGCAATTAGAGACTTCTGCAGGTGATCCGGCTTTCGTGAACCAAGTCCCCGACATCAGTATGCAGGTGTGGAGCATTTCCCCCACATATCCCACAGCACACTCCCAACCAGTACCACTCCTGCGGGTGGATGAGGTGTTTGTCAATACTTTTCCAACCCTCAGTCGAAACAAATGCACGTTGCACAACATCCACCTGATTTAGACATAGTTTCAGAAAATGGTTCAACCCACAATCTCCCAAAACATGGATGCTATGGATTGATACCTAGTTGTTACTAACAGGAAACGATGTGGAACAACCACATGGTTTACTGTTACTTTAGGGTATCTTATCGTGATACGCCTGTTTGAACATGACAGCTCTAGCTCAGAACTATGGTATACAATGTATACATGGTGAAGTGGTGGTTGCAGCAGTAGATCCAGATGCCAAGATACGTCAAACTGGGAAAACGTGGCTATAAGATGAATCGACATCAAGCCCCGTGTCACATTAGGCTGTTTGTGTCTGATAGCTGCTTGTTCCAACAACAAAACTATTGCTGCAGAGCACCAAATTTGACATCACCAACCTATCCTATTTCAAACCAAATCTGTACAAGACTATTGCCGCGGTCTCGTGCGGCTTCAATTCTTTGATGATCTTACATTTACATTCCCTCGTTGCTCCAATTTCGCGCTTCCATTTCGGGACCGCTTCTTTTCTTCATCTTGCAATTCCATTTGTTTCATGGTTTTGGTATCAACCATCTAAATTAGGCACGCCTCTACTAGGATGAAACCTCCAGCATCTTTCTCAGTCGTAAAGATCGAAGATGACAACTAAGTAATGCAGCTATCATCCACAAACCACGATGAGTTCTTCACTCCATCATATGCGGATATATCCATATATATATACATATGTATACATATATATACATATGCATTCATATGTCTACAGTATATATGGATATATACGTACGTTGTATATACAGTACAATAATCTATCTTGTCAAATTGCAACACATCTAAAGTTTACCGTCGCCCGCCTCCATTGCCACGGCCTGACCATAATAGCACGACACTTCAAAACTTTAAGATTATTATAGAATTATATCATGTATGTATATATATATATATATATATATCCAACTGGAGATCTATGACCATCATGGGATTTGAAGGTCTGACGATTATACAATCTCCGAACAACCTGCGCTTCTCTTCTCAAAGAAACACTAGGCTCCTCTGTATCGACTGCACAACCAACTCGAAGGGAGCACCGAACCTGCCAAAGGCTTCATAAAGTTGAGTCGATGCAGCATGTTTGAACTTTGGGCTCGGTGCAGGGTGCAACCAACATGGGGAGAAGTAGCGGCAAGTTTTTACAGGCGTTTAGTAAAATTGAAGCTCATATCAACCATGCTCATGCTGATTGGTCATCGCACAGCTCTGCACATTTCCGTTGCACAATTCTGATGAAACAACCCTGTCTCAGAGGTTCATATTTTAGACTCATAGATCATAGTCTGACAAAACCAAAACGCAAGTGGCGGGTGCTCGAAAACTGTTTTCACAGATGTTCCCTGCATTCCCACAGAGCCCGAAGCGAACCCTTTCGGAAAGGTTCCACTCGCCAGGCAAAGCTACCTGTACACCTCTTCTAAAACCATCCTCTACCATACCGACTGTACAAGCAACTCGAACAGAGCACCTACCCCAACCAAAGGCTTCGTAGCATGGGGTGGATGCAGCGTGTTTGAACTTTGGGCTCTGTGCAGAGTGCAACCAACCAACATGACGACACATAGTAACAAGTTTTTACAAGTGTTAAAATTGAAGCTCCCATGCAACGTTCAAACATTTGCAGGCTAGCTGCACACATAGCTCTCGCAATCTACCGCCCCATGTCAAACAGTCTCGACCACTGACCAGGTCATTTTCAAAATCTCTGCTCCAAACATACTCCAGGAAACACTAGGCTCCTCCGTACCGACTGTACAAGCAACTCGAACGGAGTACCTACCCCTGCCAAAAGCTTCGTAGCATTGGGTGGATGCAACATGTTTGAACTTTGGGCTCTGTGCAAAGTGCAAGCAACATGAGGAGACATAGGAACAAATGTTTACAAGTGTTTAGTAAAATTGAAGCTCCCATGTAAAGCTCAAACATTTGCAGGCTAGCTGCACACATAGCTCTCGCAATCTACCGCCCCATGTCAAACAGTCTCGACCACTGACCAGGTCATTTTCAAAATCTCTGCTCCAAACATACTCCAGGAAACACTAGGCTCCTCCGTACCGACTGTACAAGCAACTCGAACGGAGTACCTACCCCTGCCAAAAGCTTCGTAGCATTGGGTGGATGCAACATGTTTGAACTTTGGGCTCTGTGCAAAGTGCAAGCAACATGAGGAGACATAGGAACAAATGTTTACAAGTGTTTAGTAAAATTGAAGCTCCCATGTAAAGCTCAAACATTTGCAGGCTAGCTGCACACATAGCTCTCGCAATCTACCGCCCCATGTCAAACAGTCTCGACCACTGACCAGGTCATGCTCAAAATCTTTCCGCTCCAAACGTGCTTCTGATCCGAGGACAATTGTTATGAATAACAACTGCATCCGATCCTATCTCATGATCCTTGGTAACATTCGCATTCCCATATCAGATACTAATAATCCCATTCATACCGCAATTGTCCCTCTTGACGGCGGGCGAGAACTGTAACTGTCACACGCCCAGCCCCGCAAATACAACAGCCATCACTCAAACAATCTGTACCCTATACCCCTCGACATGGCACGCAGCACACACAGTGATGAGCTCTCCAAAAAAAAATGTGAATGTGAAGCAAAGGCTTGAGTTTTGTGATTGTGACTTTACGTGGCATCTTGCACGATAATTGATAAGCTTTTTGCTTGTTTGAATGAAGAGCGAGAGATCCACATGAGCGTGATAGCGTCTAGAGATGCCAAGGAAACTGCAAGCAAAAGATGGCCGCTGCTCGAATCAGATACCCTGGTCACTGCACACTGGTGAGGGAGGAAAACGCAGAAATCCACGCTTGAGATCCCTGCACGATCTTGGCAGGAAAGGCTCTCAAGGCTTCCAAAATGGCACTCGGAATGCAACTGGGCGACGCATACAACGGGCTCCGATATTGATACACTCCATCCTGGCGACTGCCACTGAAGCCAGCATTGATCAGGATCTCGCGCATGCCATACGTTGGACCCAACAGCACAAGCTCTGCGCCTGTGCTGGCCTCATCCATAGCCACAACGACACGGAGATGAGACCCATTGAATCCAGGCGCCTCCAAGATCTTCTCAATGTTCATGGCTGCAGCCTGCACGTCCACC